TCATCCTTGGTGGCCTTCTTCCAGTTCCTTCAGTGAGGTGAGCGCAGAGACTTCGAAGGCCCTTAATTAAAGGTTCTTTGTTAAACAATGAACATTATGCGCACATGTCTGTTCTCCCTTAAATGACAGGTTGAAAAATTTCGTGCTCAACAAAAGGTTCTGGATTCTTTGGAGGACTAGTGTTGACCCCGGTGAGGGCCGGTGTCTTAAGGACTTAGGGTTCGGGAGCCGCGGGCAGGAGTTTGATGAGTTTTAAGGTTCAAGTCAGGGTCAGAAGTTCGGCCATGAAGCATTTTGCGAGCAACTGCTCGCCAGAAAGTGGTCATCCTACCAAGTAGGTGCTACAACTACTGGCGCAAGTGTAGTTGAAGCCGAATAGGATAAGATGAACAATAATTCTCTTGTCATCTACAGGTGTAGCTATTGGCAATTCAATTTTGGCAAATATTCAAGTTTCATCCCACTATAGGAGGCTACGAATTTGTTTTGTCGAATTACCTTTTACAATACATATTGTAGATAAAAAGATGATCTATATTTTGAATCTTGATAATATATTCTCTCTCAATATTTCAATATGCACTGATATATTTAGCAAAGAATTGATATATTTCTTATTATTTCTTCTTTAGATTTTGATATTTAAAGAAATTTAGGATTTTCACTGATTATTTAATGAGGTATAGAAATTAGAATAGAATAAAAAAATTATAATAAGATTTAGAAGAAAAGAATAGGTAAGAAAAAATTGATAAGATATAGATTTCTGTAAATACGATTTTAATATATGAAAATATTTGAAATTTATATGATTTTGATGAGAAATATTATAGAAAAATAAATTATTAGGAAATATGAATTTATTTTCTATTTATTTTAGATATTTTAAATATATTTTTGAGAATTATGAAGATAAAGATACTCTATATATATATATACGAATTCGGATTTTATTGATTATTTATTTATTTATATTTTCTCTATTGGGAATTCTTTCCGAGATTTATTTTATTTATTTTTATTATTTGAACTATTTTTTTTTGAATTTATTTCACTATAGGGTGGCGAGTCGACTTGGAAATGATCTGGTGATGTTGTATTGAGGGTTTGGAGGTTTAGTGTTGTAGGGTGTTTATGGTATCGGGATTTAGATGGCGTTGACGGGTATATTTAAATAGAGCAATCCTACGGGTCTTTAGGTTTGTAGTAATTGAATAGACAACTAGGATTTGGATAATTTCGTGGATGAAGATCTCTTTGAGGTCTGATGCTCTAGGGTTTGGATTTTTTCGCCCTTGTGGCGTATACCGCAAGGGTCAGCGATTATTTTGAACTCAAGGGCATTTCTTAAGATCTCGAAAGATGGACGAATACGATTATGATAGACCCTGGTAGACCTATAAAATACGATTCTAAATACGAAACGATTGCTCTTTCGTTCGTTCGAATCCCTTCAACTTGGGATTTCTTAGTGGATTCGAGATAGTGTCTCTGTCTATGTCATTCTTTTCGAGTCCGAGTGCAAGTTTGTATTGTTCCGTCTTCGGCAGGATTCTTATAATTTTAGGCCTCTATTAAGATTTTAGAGCTGGAGCAACACCTCGCACAATTGATGCAACGTGCGAAATCGAAGGATCTGTTTTGCTTTTGGACCAATTTCATATCGGTCTGGGTGCCACATCTCCGTGAAGTAATATATTCAATTTCAACTCCACTACAGAGTTTCTGGACGAGACACTCAAGAAAAAGATATCTCTATAAAGTACCAAAGATAACTATCGAATGGAATCAATCGATTTCTGCTTCTATATGGAGCTTTCAAAAAGGGATATTGATATCGGCCGCTGCTATTTCGATCCTTACAATAAGGTCCCGTGATCATAAAGACCCTCAAAAAAGGTTTCATAAGACATCTAGAATATGTAGAAAGTTTGTATCCAAGAGGTAGCTGAACAGCTTCGGAGATCAGGGCATCCCAGGGGCGTGATTCGTATCCCGTATTTTCCATGCCCCCTCGAGTGCCCCGAAAATTTAAAGGAAAATCTATATTTGCAGGGAGGGGGTTGATCCCCGGGCTTTGGGGAGAGTTTTCAGGGCTCCCAGGAAGAATTCCTGAGTATAGTATATTGTGGATTTGATTATTGTACGGGATAGATTCGAGGCTTGTGGAATCGAATGTCTTTTTGAGGAATGCTCGATTTTGATGGGTTGTGATGCCGCGCACGTGGGTCTCGAACGGGAGCTTGTCCATCTCGGAGCTAATCACGTGGTCTTGTTGATGCTAGGCCGAGCTCATCCAAGCCAATCTCGGTCATACTATTTGGCATTAGATATATATATATATGCACGTATCCTGACTCCGAAATACAAGTAGAGAACAGAGAGTCAGAGACATATCTATATGAGGAATTGTTGGCTTGAACATGATATGACTAATATTGGGTGCTAGGTCGAGGTCGTTGTGTGACGCCAGAAGTCGTAGCAATCCCGCGTCATCTTACGACAACATATTGACGGTCCATATAATCCGCCATTACGATAAGATTTATGCTTATTTATGTAATATCGAATTGAGATTTCGTATTTTCGTGCTCGTCGATCGTTCCATGAGAAATCAAACGTCTATATGGTGATAGACCGCTTTTAATATATTAAATTGATCTGTGTCTCAAAAGGCTGACTCATTGATGTGTTTCTCGAGCTAGTGCTGGCAAAAACGAGCGTCCTTATGGGGAATGGCTGATTTTTTTGATTTGACGCGAGGCCCCTGATGTGTTTCTGGACCGAGTGCTTGCGAAATCGAGCGTCTATATGGGGGGAATAGTGTCATGAGATAACGCTGATGTGGGTCTCGCGCGGGCATTGGAGAAATAGAGCGTCTATATGGGGAATTGGTTGGTTGCTTGTCTTGAATGGGAGGTTGCGAAATCGAATATATATATGAAGAATGATTGGTCGTCGTCCCCTGTAATGCCAATAATTTATTATCTTGAGTGGGTTTTTTGAAGTGTTGAGATTTGTGTTGAACGGCTGCCCCGCAAAACGCGTCCTTCAAATCTTCGTGCACTATGACGATGCTAATAATATATATAAGAATTTAATAATATGTAATTATATTAATTAATTATTATTAATAAATTTTCCGAGCATTTGAATATAATTTCTTAAGCTGAAAAACTAAATTAAAATATATATTCGGGACAGGCTAAGAGATATGTGAGAATATGAAAAATATATATTTTAGAATAATATAAATCTATTCATCTTTTTTATGAATTACTATAGAAGAAAAAATAAATATATAATTTATATTTTCTTTATTATTATTTTATGAATAAAGAGAAAATTGCCGAATTAATTTGCTTATTCATTATAATATATTATTCTTTATATAATAATATATATATTGAAGTTTCGATAATATTCTTAATCGTGAATTTTTTTAAAAAAATTATGTCATTATTTTAAATATTTCTTATTTTCGATAATAATTTATATAATTTATTCTATAATATTCTCTATCGATATACATTCACGAAAAATATAATAATTAAATAAATATATTATCGTTCGCATATTTAAATCTTAAATATTCTTTTATTATCTCTCATATATTAAATATAGCTGTTCTAATTCTCTCACGATATTATTTTTAATTTCAATATTCTCTCATTTTCTACGCGCTCTTATATTTCCATTCGATAATATTCTCTTCACGCCCTAATCCACTCCGATTTTAATTAATTACGGTAAACCCCCAATTTTAAAATCGAAAAATTTAGAGCGCCTTTACGAGATTTTCTAATTTTTATCGTAGCCAATCTCTTAAAATAATTTAGAAATATCTAGACGAGAGTCCCAACAGAGGTAACAAAATCGATCAAATAGATGAAATAAGTATAAAAAGGAGGGTCAATAAGTTTAATAAGTATAAGGCGGTAGGTTCCAATAAGAGAAATATATTTAAAAAACGATTCAAATTCGATTCAAATAGATAGAAAAAAGAAAGAAGGTTCCTAGAGATAAAATAAAAGAAAGAAAGACGCTCCTAATAGATAAAAATAAAAATAAGGAAGAGAGTCCCAGTAAGTGAATTAAGTGCAAAGAAAAAGATTCAAATAAAGAAATCAAAACGTAGAAAGAAGAGAAAAGAACGATCAAAATAAGTGCAAAAAAGATCTCAATAAGAGAAATAAGGGTCCCAATAGGTGAAACAAATACCAAGAGAAAAATGCGGTGGTGGGACATAATCAAAAATATTTAATATGGTTGCCTGTTGCAGCTTTTCAAATCGAAACGTGCCAGCGGGGTCGCATCTGGCAGCTCGAACAGTTCCTTTATGCCACCTGCCAGGGAAGAGACTCAAGCAGATTGAACTAACATAGGCAGACACACACACACACACAAAAAAAAAAACAGACAGAGACTCACACACGCACAAACAGAAACACGCACACGCACCCAAATAGGTGCAACGGGATCTCGGCACTTACATGATTCACGTGTCCTTCCACCCTCCCTCCCTCCCCCCCTCCCTCCCTACCGCCTACCCACCTACCGACCTACCGACCTAGCGACCTGCCGACCTAGCGACCTGCCGACCTAGCGACCTGCCGACCTACCGACCGACCGACCGACCGACCGACCGACCTACCTACCTACCTACCTACCTACCTACCTATACACACACACACACACCCACCCCACTGTACCTTGCACTGCACCACACTGGACATCGTATACACCCCCTCACACTACAGCACTTTATGTGACATTGCATGACGTAACTCATATATTATGTCGACATATGCGTGGTGGGATTCCTCGCCAGACATACATATTGCTGTGACAACACGCTGGCACCGCGCATGTACAGAACATTGCAGAACATAGACGCTCAGTCTTGTTTCTGATGCTTCCGCTTGGTGTCCCGTGCCGCTGTTGGCTGCAGATTTGCTGCCAAAAATTCGTGGCAGCCTTTTGCCTCCCCGCCTCCCCGTTCAGTCTCGGAAAACCTCAAGGCGGCCGCTGCAGTCGACGACGGCAAGGAGTCCCGGTGCCAGGGCAGGGGAGGCCTGGAAAGCCGCGCCCACCAGGTGCTCCTTGACCTCCTCCGGGGAGATCTTGCCATCCCCATTTTCGTCTCTTATTGCATAAATCTTCCCATCTTGAAAAGGGACGAGAGCGGTGCCTGCTCCGTCAATGACGGGCTGCGCATTGGCGTCGGGGAGACACCATGGATCGTTGTTGGGGTTAGTTCCATGCGCTATACTATCGTAGCGCTCAATCAACAGCTCAGAATCGCCCATCGCGGCAGGGCGCTGGTAGGGCTCCATTTCATGGTACCAGAGGACATTGCCCGTGGCAGCATCCAAGGCCACGATCGAACGACCCTGCTTCTTTGCGAAGAGAGACGGGTAAGAAAGGCTCAACCAGTGGAAGGGAAGGAGAAACATCTTGGCCGCCTTGAAGCCTGAGTCTGCTTCGCTGTTGTAATCACAGTCGTGATTTAGCCTTATGATGATGCCTGTTGCAAAAGAGCACGTGATGATCCCTTGAAACCCCTTGAACAAAGCCAAGACACCGATAATCGGAATCAACACCATGCCCCAGTTCGCGTACACAGGCAGCCAAGGGTTCTTGCCCATACCGAGAACCAGAGAAGCCCTGCTCTTGCTTCCAACCAGATCGCCCACCGCAACAGCTTGGTTGCCTTCGTAGGGGAGATCCTGCGACCAAAGAAATGTACCGTCTTCGTAGCCATAAACATGAAGAAGCCCTTTGCCCTCTGTTCCATACAGCTGAGGCCCACCACCAAGGTTGCTGACAGCGAAAACGCGACCATCGTGGATCACAGCGGCTGCAGTTGTGCCAGATACTCTGTCAGGTGTCGCAGCGTGCCAGATCAAGCGGCCCTCCGTAGACATCCGATAGACGCCACCGGTCACGTCCTGAAACACAAAGGTGCCATCATGTATCGTGGATCCCTGGAAGTTGTAGGTTGGTTGCTTTGGGGCGAAGCTCCAACGAAAAGATCCATCGTCCAGACTCAATCCCAGAATGCGATTGTTCCAGCGAAATGTATTCGGATCGGTCCAAAGCTTCAAAGGCTCTGGGTCCATCACCGCAACGACTAGAATCCCCTGGGTCAGGAGCCCACAATCGCAAGATGCAGCCACTTGTGTTACTATCTGTTTCTCCCATCTTTCTACACCGGTGTCCAAGTCCAGTGCAATCAGAAAGCCGTTCTTCGTGAGCATTAGCATCACCGAGTCCCACAGGGAGGGCACTCCTGGAACACTTCCCCGGCTACCTGTGTAATGACTCCAGAGGGGCTTGCCATCCATGCCGCTGAGCTTGTAGGTTCTGCCCGCAACAGTCGTTACATAGATGTTCTTCTGATCGTCAATGAGCGGAGTGGACCGAACAACGTCGCCATGAGGTGCCTCTTGCGTCCAGGCAGGGCCTTTGGTAATGTCGGGCATGGCATATGGCGAATAGCCCGTTCGACCCGGAGTGCCCTTCTGATAAGGCCACCAGTGTTGCCGGCCCGAGCCAGAGCTCGAGCTCGCCCCCTCTTTGGGCTCACAGTGGCCCGTAGCACAAGTCTCCGCTGCCTCAGTGGCCTCAGTGGCCGCAGCCTGCCAGGCCTGCTGAACTGCCAGGCATGCTCCCAGAAGCCGCCACATGGCAGGCATGGCAGGCATAGCAGGCATCAGTCAGGAGCCTCGAAGCCGCTTGAAGCCTCGAGGCTTAAACTCTTGCTACTCTCCTGAAGCCGAAAATCGTTTTTATCATCTTGGCTGGAGCAGAAACGGCGAAGCACCAACAACTGCAAAAAGCAGCACGGCCTTCGTAGCATCCCGGCTCATACCGGCGTCGCGCACCAGCAGGGGGGCGAGCCTGCCAGGATCCAGGCAGAATGGGAAAGCCACGAGATCTTCAGGATCCGTCAAGTTCAGAGCCCTTTCAGCGTGATGCCTCGTCCACGTTTGTGGTGACAGCATCCACCATGCGGACCATGTTGGTTGACCCAAGCATTCTCCAAGTCTTATGACGAGCAGGTCAAGTAAGATGAACCTGCTGTACGGCTAGCATAGACGATGATGACTCCTGAAGGGGAACTGCGTCTGCACGTCGGTTTTGAGCAAACCACACAAGCAGCTGAGAGAGCATGCAGCCAGATTCCCAGCATGGTATGCAACATCTATGCAGATACAACTCGCACTGCATTACCTGGATGGACCCTCACCAGACTACACAGTATGTGACAATGAAGGAAGCATGCGCCGACCCCCCCGGGGCGGCGCCCAGAAGTTGAGTCGAACGGCTGCGGCGGATACGACTTGCCGTTGCGAGCTAGCGGAAAAACACATTACGACACGTCGTGAAACCCTTCCTGTTCTCTAGCAAGAAATGCACAGCTTATAAACCAACCCTAGATCGTAAGTTCTGTGTCTTGCTTCCACATGATGGACCCACGGATGCTGCTGATACCCTTCCCTACTCCCGCTGTCCCGTACAATAATCAAGCTCAAAATGCACACCCAGGAACTCTACCCTCACCCAAGCCCGGGTATCAACCCCCAACCGAGCCCCCAATCCTGCAAACGTAGATACTCCATTTAGTATTCGGCGCACGCGAGGGGCATGGAAAACATGGGATGCGAGTTACATCCCTGAGATGCCCTGATCTCCGAAACTGTACAGCTGCCTCTTGAGGATAAGGGGCTTTCTGCACATTCTAGCTACCCTATTGTACCTTGTTTAAAGGTCTTTATTGCCAAGGGTACATATAATAAGGATCGAAGTACTAGAGGTCTATATCGAAGTCTTGTTTTGAAAGCCCCATGTAGACGCAGAAACCGACTGACTCTGTTCGACAGTTGCCTTTGGCACTCTGCAGAGGTATCTTTTTCCTGAGCGCCTCGCCCAGAAGCTCTGTAGCGGAGTTGAAGTTGAACGTACCACTTCAGGGAGATGCAGCTCTAAATCCTGATAGAGGCCTGAAATTGCAAGAGGCCTGCCGAATGCGGGACAACACAAACTTGAACTCGGACTCGGACTCGAAAGGAATGACACACACAGAGAGGCACTGCCTCACAACAGCTACGAATCCACTGCGAAACCCCAAGTTGAAGGGGTTCGAGCGAGCGAAAGAGCATAGGAGATAGGATTAGGGGTGCCCTGGGGGATATAGACCCTCTCAAGAAGGTCCCTTTTAAGAGAGCCACAAGTAGGGTTCAGAAGGGTCCCCTTTAAGGGGTCTCCCTGCTACTACCTAGGAGAGCAGTCGTTTCGGGCTTAGAGTCGTGCTTTGCGGCTTAGCGGGCCTACTCACAATCACCTTCGTCCACCTGTCGAGCTCCTGGGGCACAAGCAGACCTTGCTTCTATAGTACCTGAGCAAGTGCCCTTGTCCTCAAAACAATCGCTGAGCCTCTTGTTGTTGACCATCTCAAAACGATGGCACGGGGCAGCTGAGAGCACTTGCTCCTTGCGACCTACTCCTAGCTACTGCGGCATGTGCCGCAAGGGCGCTAAACCCCAAACCCTGGAGCATCAGACCTCAAAGAGGTCTTCATCCATGAAGTCATCCAACTCCTGGTCGTTCACCCGGCTGCTGCAAACCTGAAGGCCCGCGCGATTGCTCTACTTAGCACGTACCCGTAAACGCCACCTCAACCCCGATGCCGTATGCCCCATAGCCCTGCAACGCTGAAACCCCCAAACCTCCAAACCCTCAACACCCTAAACCCTAAACCGAATCATTTCCAGGTCGGGTCGCCACTCCCGGTTTCGCGCGCGGCGCGGTGGTGTCTGCATGCGTCCCCACATGCACCTGGCCGAAGCCAAGCTCACGAGAAAACAGTCAGGTGCTGAGCTTGCTGTTTCAGGTTTAGGGCTTCGGGGCTTGGGGCTCCTAAACCCCTAAACCACTAAACCCTAAACCTACAGGGCTTAAGGGTTCAGGGATTTACGGAGCGAGGGGGGGTGGAGGAGTTTAGGGCCTGGGGGATTAGGGCTGGTTAGGGGCTTTAGAGCGTGTAGGGTCTGGGGCCTAGGGAATCCAAGTTTTTGCACTAAACCCTAAACCCAAAGCTCCTAAAAAACACCCCAAGACATCTCTAGATGCGATAGGGGTTCCTAAATCCTAAGAGGGCCCTTGCAGAACCCGTTGTTGACACCTTATCAGAACACTTGCAGACCTACTCCCTGGTTCTTAGTGGGGAATGGGGGAATGGGTTATTGGGACTGATAAACGGGGACCTGAAGGGACATAGGGATCCATTTCCCCATTTCCCTACTAAGAACCAGGGAGTCATATCCCTAAACCCCTAAACCCTAAACCCTAAACCCCTAAACCCTTAACCCCTAAACCCTAAACCCCTAAACCCCTGAACCCCTAACCCCTAAACCCTACGAAGAACCCTAGGGAGCCCATTCAAAGTCCTTGCAGCGGCCTCTTCAAAGTGGACTCCGACATCCTCGAGCGCCAGCCGGAACTCTTGGATGCCGTCCTCGTCATCTTCATCTTCCTGCAGGTAGATGCCTGAAACAGCTGCAGCAGGGGTTTAGGGTTTAGGGTTTAGGGCAGGTACCGAGTTTGGGGTGTAAGGTTCAGGATTGCAGAAGTTTAGGGGTTTACGGTTTGAGTTCCAACTTGAACCGCCTGTTGCTGGCGCCTTTGGCACTACAGCGTGTCTCTGACTGTACCCTAACCCCATATACCCTAAACCCTAAACCCAATCCCAACCCCGAAACCCTAAACCCTCCCTCACTGCATCCGTTGCCTGCGTCTGCCAGCCTTTCAGCCAAAGGCTCCTGAAAGCCCACGCCCTGCGCCAAGGCCTGAAGCAGCTGTCACTTGTGTTTACGCCGCATAAGGGTTACTGCGACATTATTGATATTATTGATGCTATTCTTCTTGTTAGTATTATTGTCATGATTGCTATTATTATGCATGTTCGGCGCTGCATCTCAGAGATGTCTGGCCCTTGTCGCACATCTTGACAGATCGGCTGTGAACCCTTGGGGAAGCTTGCAGCTGCTGCTGCCATCCGAAAGCGAGAGTTAAAGTTTGGTCCCGCACTGTGAGTTTGCAAATCATGTAGCCGCATAAGCAGTATGAGAACACACAGCGGATGCCGGCAGAAGCCGAAAACTCACAAGGCTTCGAAGTTCACAGCTATCGCAAGGACTGCCGGCCCAACCCTTCTCAAGGCCCTATAGATACCTGAAACACCCCTGATAACCCGACACCCTGGCCTCCAACTTCTTGACGGTTGCATCCTCCAGTTGCAAAGCAGTTGGCTAGACTTGGGTGAGGATGAAATTCGGGACGAGCTTACCAGAACAACAGTACTACCCCCCGAAATCATGCAGACCGCTGTTCAAAGCAAAAGTCACAGCAGGACTGCCTCAGTCTGCTCTCCCAGCACTACTCCCAGCCAGCTGTCGCCTCAGTGGGATCGAACACACACACACACACACACACGCACACACACACACACACTCACACACACACACACAGACAGACACACACACCCGCGCGCGCGCGCGTGCGCGCGACCCAGAGTCTAGCAGAGTCTAGCTGTTTTTGAGCAAAGAAGCCTTGATTCGCTGCCTCACGGAGGTCCTTCATGGTGGGACTCCTTGTTGGACATCCTGTGAGGCAGTAACAAGCAGTCTGTATGTCGCTTACACTGCCGAGGCTGGCTGCTCAGAGGGAGTCCTGACCCTGCGCTGGTTGACATGACCAACGACGAAATGCCTCCGAAGCAGATTCGCGGCACTTGGGCCAAACGACGCACTGGCACTTCACATGCTAACTAGGTCCTGCGTCGTTGAGCTTCAGTGCACCAAGCAAGACATATGCAGTCAAAAATAGCACTAAAACCATTGAGGGACAAACGGGCTGGGTTGGCGGTGAGGAGGGATGAACACATGCCCACACTTTCGAGTATCTTACTGTCAGAGCCCGAAGCCGCAACGCTCTGACTGCACGCCGACCTAGCTAAAAGATGCTAAAAGCAGGGTGGTTCTCCAAAGTAGGGTCCCTTTTGAGGTCCTTGTTTATAAGGGTGCCGTACTATATTGGTGACCTAAAAAGGGACCTTAATTTAGAGAACTACCCGGATCCAGGTGCCTGCTGTCACCTCTCGGCTCGGTGGCAACGTGCGCGTCACACCTGGCCCGGGAGCTGGGGAGGTGTTGGAGGACAGCTTTCTGGTTATAGGGCATAGGGCCTGGGGCTTTTTTGGGCCATGATAGGGCTCAGGGTTCAGGCTTTCTGTCAAAAATTGCTGTTCTGCTTGGCGTTGAAGTAATTACATCCGAAGGCCGCATAGCATTGGCTCGGCTGTCGCGTTGTCAGAGTTTCGGTGCCTACGGCATCCTACGGCTATAGGATAGGAAACCCCCTCCTGCCGCCTTCTGCCAAGACCAAGCCAAGGCCACGAAGAGCTTAATGAATTCAGTTTAGGGTTTAGGGTTTAGGGCCGTTGCAAGGAAGGGCCGTTGCAAGGATTACGAATAACACTCGTCGGTGCTTGCGAAGATGCAGAAGAGGCCTTCTCGCCCTCACGATGACACATGGGAGACCCGTGGAGCAGTGCAAAGGGGGCTTTCGCTTTGCGAGACCAGAGGTAGGCGTCTCAGATCGCAGAAAATGAGAGATCTGATGCCGTTATACAGTATAGGGTTTAGGGTTTAGGGTTCAGGGTTTAGGGTTTAGGGGGTTTTGGGTCATATAGGATCCTCCGGCTGCCAGGAGGTCAGATTTAAACAGCCTGCAGGATCGGCACGTTGACATGAGCTCGGTTCAGTAGGCAACGGGGCATGCGGTTCAGACACTTCCGGGGGCATGGAGCCACAAAGGCAAGGTCTACCCCGGAGTCTGCCCCGGGGCTATATGGACCTGGAGACTCTCAATTGAAAAACCCCCTTAAATCCCCCCTAAAAGCCAGCATGCCCTTTTGATTCTACTAAACCCTAAACCCTCAACCCTAAACCCTAAAACCCCAAACCCCAAACCGTCCTAACACCCTAAACCCTCAACCCTAAACCCTAAACCCCAAACCCCAAACCGTCCTAAAACCCTAAACCTTAAACCCTAAACCTGGCCTTCGTCTTCCCAGTCCCAGCTCTCCGAGCCACCCTGCAACGCAAGTCGGGTCTCTCAGCGGCAACTACCCTTTTCTACCAGTACTGGGTGCCCAGAGCATCCGAACTCAAGGGTAACATAGGGTTTAGGGTTTTAGGGTTACTACCCCGGACATCTCGCGAGAAAAATGCAGCTATGCATCGGTGAATTCTTCGCTCGCTACCGTGCACGACTGTTTCGGCCGGAACGGGCACGGGCCTCACCGATGGAGGTCTGCACATCGCTCGCAACTTCTGGCAGGGAGCCAGACTCTGGCTGAGCCTTGAGAAGGGCGGTAGCCATACTCTCGCCGTCAGAGACCAGCAACGCCCTGAATGATACATGCAGTGCCTTGCTCCAACCAAGCAGGGAAGAGCAGCTAGCTGATGCACCAGAAGCTGAAACTTTACAATGCCGCGTCAAGTGCATACTTGCTGCCATGCAACGCTGCCACAAGAGCATGGGCATTCACTGCCCTCCCCTGCCTGCTCGCAATTCCACTGGCACATCAGTGGGCAAGATTTATGAACTTTCAGACATGCATGCGACACACTACGATGCACAGCATGGAACTCCCAGGCCTGACGCAAACGTTGTCCTTAGGAGCACCGGCGTGAGCACCGACGTACTGAGGTTCACGGTTACATGCCCCTACGGCCAGGTTTGCAGTGCACCGTGCAGATACGCGCAAAGCGCGACTTCCCGCATAAGATGCCGTGGCTTCTTCGGCGATGCCTTTTCTGAGGATCGCTGCTTACACTATTGCATAGCAGTGTAGTCACAGCCTGTTGCCCTCATTCATATGACGTCGGCCAGTACCAGTGAACGAAGGGGGTCGGAAAGTCAAGAGAGCGATGTTAATCTTGGCGCAGGGTCGAAGTGACCAACACACAACACACATATGAAGAAGCCGCATCTTCGACAAACTTGACTCAAAGAATGCCACCTGTCAGACAGCACCTTTCTCAGTCAAGCATCTGATGAAGCAGCCCGTGCAAGCACAGCAGAGGAGCAATACACCTGCTGAGGCGGTCATTGTGGTCGTGAACCTTAGTGGCTCCCAGGGTGCACGAGGCCAAACAAGATCACGACAGGAACTAGGCTTCTATTTCTTCTGCAGTCTTCTGAAAAGCAAGGCTCAAGTTGGGCTTCACTGGGCTTATCATGCTCAAGAAAAGGCCTTGTGTCCTCCCAAGAGAGGATAGTTCCGGCCAGGAGGCTGTAAGGTGTCCGGCGATGCCTTAGCTTTGACAACTTAAACTACGACGACGGATCCGCCAGCGTCCGACCGCAACATTAAGCTTTACACTGTACCCTTTCGTCACTATACATCGTGCAGTGGTGACAAATCGCAGTTGTTGCGACGCCTCCCGCCTACAGAGACCGGAGGGGACGGTACAAGAGTTTGTCCCCTGTTTCCGACTAAAGCTGCGGTGTCTTGCGGTGTCGCCGCGAACCTTTCAAAGCCTCTCACTGCCAGTGGCACGGAACGGGTTTAGGGTTTAGGGACCCTCAACCCTAAACCCTAAACCCCTAAACCCTAAACCCCTAAACCCTAAACCCCTAAACCCTAAACTTCGAGACAAGAAGCCTCCGGCGGAGCGATGCTCACTTCCAGCGTCTCGTTTCGCAGCTGAACCGAGAAGACCAGGGGGCCCACGGCAGCGATGTCAGCCTAGTGGGTCAGAGCTGTTGCAGGGCTATCCAGGGTCTGGGGGGGGAGGTGGTGCTAAGGAGGCAGGCATGTATGTATATAATAATATATATATATATATACATATATATATATGTGTGTGTGTGATATGATATGATATGATATGATATGATATGATATGATATGATATGATATGATATGATATGATATGATATGATATGATATGATATGATATGATATGATATGACCCGAACGCAGACCGAACCGTACCGACAATAAAGGGTCTGGCTCGCAGACAGATCTTGCATCAACATATAGAAGCTTAAGAAGCGATGGAATCCACAGAATCGTCTGTCAGCAAAGCATCATTGTTGATAGCCCTAGCTCTAGCCTTTGTGGCCTTTGGTCCTGGGAAGGCTTGCGACCTGTTCTGCTTCTCTGCTCCTTTTAGTGGGCATGCTGTATGGGCCTGATTGCGATGCCAGAAGGAACTGTGACAAAAAGTCGACGCCGCTTGATGCCATGGCGGATTTTTCGGATCTGACGATCTTATCTGATTCCTGTGGCATGCTGAAACCTTTGCCTCCGTGTAGTTCACGAACTCCGTGGCGAAAGCTCTTCCGACCTGTCACGGAGCAGCATGAACTGAGACACGGTTAGGCTGGGCAATAGAAATTCTGGCAGGCAATGCCTCTGCGAAGGTTGTTCTCTGGGGTTCTTGCAGCTGCACCATGGTTGGTGCTGTGGCAGAACTGAACTGAACCTCCGCGAGGTCAGCGCTGCCCTGCGAGCCAACACAAGTCAGATTCTTGTTGAGCAGTGGGCTCGACTAACTCACTTTCCGAAGATAAGGACTCTGATCTACAAGCCCAGAAAACTGCGACCCGACATTGACATCCAACAGTCCGGGCAAAAATCCGCGGGTTGACGCTTTGAGAGTGAACTGCCGTCCATCTCAGGGCCTGAACTGCTTGAACAGCGAGCTCCAGATCTTCGGGACTCACTTCGAGTACTTGAGCCAGTGCACGTCTCAGACCTGCAAGGGTAGAGCAGGAAAGACTCGCTACACAGACAGGGGCACATTTTCGAGTATGATCATGGCTACAATGTGTCAAAACTTTACGTCTTACACAATGAAGGCATGCGGCGGCACAATAACCCAATACCTGAAACGTCATGCCATCTTTGGGTAGCACGACAGTGCGTGTGCCGAAGAAAAGCCTGCATTTTGTGACTGGGCGTGTGACACACCCATCTGTGCGGGAAGACATGCTCGAATTGCAATCGTAATGTGGCCTGTCTGATGTCCCCTGGATGCTTTCTGATGAGCTAGCGATCAGCATATCGAATGGCAGAATAGTGACAGGTAGAAGTCAGGTACCAGTAGTCTATCTAAGTTTGGACAAGCCAACGTTTATGCTTGCTTACTGTCACAAGCTTTGCAACCATAAATAGCACTCAATGCCCGATTTCGCGCTGATGAGCGGTAGCATCAGGGGCAAGGCAGTTTCAGCAACAGATGCCTACCGCCCAGAAGCTGTCTAAGCGGAAACTTCTGATAACATCAACCCACAAAGACCAAGGAATGCAAAACGTTTCATTATCTTATACCTTATACCGACAGACGGAAAGACTCATGGCCCGGGGTACAGTGAAGCAGCACGGGCAAATGGACGTTCCCGACGTGCTCCATTACCCGTCTTACCCGGAGCAAACCCCCCCAAAAAAAAATCCACCTGCTTCGACCTGCGGATCTCCGAGGTCGTCTGGAGAATTCCTTGGGCTCCAAGAGTGGGATTCCTAATGCGAAGTGCGTATGCACGGTCTATGCTCTGCAAAGGCAGGCCTGTAGAACTGTGCCAAAGCCAAAATCTTGGGACACCATCTGCTATGCCCACATGGTTTAGTCCCGCGTGCTTTACTGCCTGCACTCTGCAGTCCATTTGAAGCACTGGAGTGCCGCAAGCAACGGCAAGCTGTCAGTTGCCACACTCTCGATGCCCCGAGCCGCGTTTGGACCGTCAGCCTTCCGACAAGGATGATGACCCGTGTAGTCGTCTCGGCAGCGCTGCTTTTAATGCACTCCGCACTGCAACAGCACTGGCACGCGCCGTGTACAAGCTGCCAGAGAGAGTTGGCTCGCGTACTGAAAGACGCGGAGTAATATGCATGCTAACGAAAATCGTTCAGCAAGCATTCATGTGCAAGATGCTTTCAGTGCTCGTGAGCGGCTTCATCTGAGGAATTGGCCGTCTGCGTTCTGGTGGTGGTTTCGCTGGAACTCCGTGTCACCTGACCGGACTTGCTGAAGGTGTCAAGCCCCAAAGCTGGGACGCTTGGGCTACCCTGTCACACCTCATGTAAGCACAGGACCTACGGGTTTGGCAGGTTCGGCAGCCTCTTAGGCGAAGGGTTGAAAGACTCTGTCCCTCGCCGCCAGTGACAAAGAAATCATGAGGGCGAACATGCACACTGGACTGCACTGCCCGCCTCGTTGCAAAGAGGCCAAGCGCCTTGTAATGAGCCATCTTCGGCGCAGCGCAGCAAGCTACTGTTACCATTGCCAGGGCAGCCAACCAAACAGAAGGAGCCAGTCCTTGCCACAACAAAGCGGATGCAAGCCATGTCTCTAGATACAAGTAACCACGAAGTGCTTCTGCAACCCTGTTGGTCTGTGGGATACATTGCATGCCTTGCGGGGGTAGTCTTGGAAACTCACATCCACTCGCTGCTTTAGGCGAATTCGCGCTTTCGGAACAGACTGCAGGCCGCAAACTCAACCAGCAATCAAATCCTGGTTCACGTGAGGGTGAAAGTTTAGAGTCTATAGAGCCTGACAAAAGTTTCGAGTGGAGCCCAGCGACGGTACTGATGAACAGTTGTGGTCAAAATCGATCTCCCACGGGATGTTGTAGGCGCAGACGTCTGGCACGCAGGCCTCGGAAGCTACGCAATACACGCCACTGCATAGATCCTCTATCGGACATCCATGTCGCATGCAAGATACTGGGAGGTGTCCTCGCAGCGCAACGTCCTCGACAGCTGGGACATGCGTCACAAACTCTTGCACGCTTGAGCAGAGTACTACTACAGAAGTACAGCCAGAGAATTCTCCTGGTCACTGCCATCCAAGGCTGGGAGTTCACCTTAGCTCCGAAGATGCTCCACACACGTCCTGTCACACGGAATCATTGACTGCAGGAAGCAGGAAGGCAGTTTGCCCTTCGAGGTCTCCCTTCTGCAGAGAAGTCGCTGCTCGGTCCCATACATCTCCACTGTTGCACCGGGCCTTCCAATCGAAAGCCAGAAGAGCAAAAGGCGTTGCAGCTGCCGTTGATTGGAATCTCCTGGGTCGACAGCACAGCACATCCCCCAAACAGACCTCGGAGGATGCCCTGAAGGGACAGAGAGATGCTTCCTTTGGGATGCTGATAATCAGGATCCTACTGTTCAGAGTTCTCTTTTTGAGGTCCGCTAGGCTGCGCACTTTCGCAAGTAGGCCGCAGCTTCCACTGATGCAGCCCAGACGCGCCAGCACAAGTGGTCACGATGCTAGGCCCGAGTGGCATCAGCTTGCAAGTGGCCACTCGGCCTGAACGTGATGTCACGTGCCTACTAGACGACCATACTTTCGGGTTCAGGGGTTTCGGGTTTAGGGGTTTAGGGTTTAGGGCTTTAGGGGTTTAGGGCATTGGGGGATAGGGGTTTACGTAGGGTTTTGGGTTGCTACCTAAGCTACCACCAGAGCTCACAGCTGCGACCCTGTCTTCGTGCTGCCCAGAATCAAGCCAAGCCCACTCCAGAAATGGAAACGAGAACGCCATCAGGATTACAGCGGAAGGTGTCGACGATCGCGTCACTGGGAACGTATCCCGTAGCACAGCTTTGGACACAAATCTGACCTGTAAGCATCGCGGTACAGTTGTCCCTGGTAGCCGGAGATTGTAGCGGATATCCAGCATCACATGCTGCTGGACGACAGCTTGGAAGAATCCCGGTAAGTGTCGGGTGAGATGCGTGTGTGTCGTTGATCCTGCACTGCCACTGCTCCCCTTGTTGCCCTTCTTCTGTGTCAGGCTCATAGCCGTCGGCACAGATTACGCTGCATGAGCGACCGAACGGAAGAGCTAGACAATCGTGGCTGTAGGAAGCGCTTTCCAGGCTCGGGTCCACTGCACATGCCTCTGCTTTGCAAATGGGGAGCTGCCCCACCAAGGTGCCGGCGGCATCGCAGGTGAGAACGGACGAGTTCTGCTCATACCCTGGCCCGCATGACACGTTGCAGTTCCCACTCGTCGCCACAGAGTCGCAGGTCGACACGAAGTTCAGGTCGTCAAAACTTTCACAAACCGCAGCTTGGCAGAGAGGTAAGAGGCCCTGAAATCTCCCATCTCCAGCACAGACGAAGGAAGCTCCCCAGCCCGCAAGATGGAAACCCGCGGCGCAGGTCACCACGCAGCTCTCTCCGAAGAGCTTCCTGAGCCCAGAACCCCTCATTAAAGCCCGTGGAGAACCCTTGTTTCGAGCCCTTACAAATATGAGAACCGTTTACACAACCCTTCCAAAACTCTCACTAGAACCCCCTACTATCCCATCTGAAGAGTTCCTAGCAGCTTCCTACAACCCAACCCTTAAAACAACAAAACCACCCCTATAGTCGCCCTGTGAAGCCCGAGGTTCCCATGACAGTTGTGTTGAAAGTCAGCTCCCAGCTCGAGGTCTGCACAAGAGAGACGTCGGCAATCCGGAGCCACACCTTAGGGTTTAGGGTTTTGGAGTTTAGGGTTTAGGGTTTTGGGGTTTTGGGGTAGGGGTTTAGGGTTTTGGGGTTTTGGGGTTTAGGGGTTTAGGGTTTTGGGGTTTTGGGGTTGAGGGTTTAGGGTTTAGGGTGCCACAGCCATCGGCCGACAGGAAAAAGGCAGCACAGGGTTTAGATTCTTAGATCTTGGGGATTCAAGCTCTTTTTTTGAGGGGTTCAGGAGGAGGGCTTAGGGTTTCGGGGGGTTTGAGGTGACGCCTTGGTATAGGGCTAGGATTGAGGGTTTAGGGATTGGGCTTCGCGCTTGGGGTTTGGGTGCTTTAGGGAGGCCCAACTCTCCAAGGAGCCTTTCCCTCCTTAAAAATGGCGAATAATAAGGATACCAATGATCGCTCACAATAATAATAAACGAATTGTTGCAATGACAATCCCAATAATAACAACCATTGTAGCACTGTACTCCTGCAATCAACCCAATCCCACACTCTGCCACACTCTCTATAACTGAGACAACGTGCCGGCCCTGATGGCATTGTAGATCCGGGGCTGCGGCCCGAACTCCCAAACTTTGAACACAAGCCTTTGCCTACGCAGATCCCACGCATAAGGAAAGGGGTTCGGACATGCAGCAGGTTGCCACTACTTCATCGTCCCCCAGAAGGACACACTGAAGCTGGAACACAAACTCGTGAATGCTCCGTGTGGTCAAAGATGCAAAATTGACAAGCACATGAATCATGAATCCCAAGACGCCCCATCTGCTTTGAAAAAACCCTCTCTCATGAGATGCCCCTTCCAAGCCCCCCTCTCCGGGATCGCACCAAGCGCCGAGTTGCCTGCAAAAGATCCCGTAGCCGTGCAGAGGAAATGTTCTTGTCCAGAATCAGAGTCAGAGTAATATCCCTGGCGGGTGCAGCTGCATGCTGCTTTTCAGTATTGGGCCGACATTCTTGTTGTGGTCGAATTAGAGACAGCTCACTTTTGCTGCTGGTCTGGCATGAGAGCGATGGCGAGGCCACAACCCCAAGACTCTTCGCTCTATGGGCACAATATATAAAAACGTGAAGGCATGCCGAAGGATTTCTTCCAGCACTGTTGATGCAGCTGCATGATTCATTCTTGTCCGCTTCAGAAGCAGCTGTCCACAGCAGAACGGGGGTGCTTTCGTGGCGAAAGCAGGAGGCAGGGCTAAGGAACCTCAAAGCAGGACTTTACGACGAAGGCACAAAGAAAGGCAGAGTGGGCAGTCGCGCAAGGCTGACATGATATCGCCATTGAGCCGAACATGTGACATTCTGGACACTGGTGTGCAAAAGAGGAAGTCTTCGGCGACCCGCCTCTTCGCAAATAGCCAGGCAGTGCTCGCCAGTCACTGCTCCGCTGCAGTTCGAGCTCACCCCCAAAGCATTCGGTAGTCCAAAATCGCACTGCTTCGGGCGACAATGGGGCAAAGGTCCTCAGAAGGCCGAGACAAGTCTGGGAAGAGTGTGGAGCTCCCTGGAAAACTGCATCTTAACCCTAAACCCTAAGCCCTAAGCCCCTATAAACCCTAAAACCCTAAGCCGCAAACATCTAAAACCCTAAGTCTTAAGTCCCTAAGCCCCTGAATCCTAACCTGCATGCTTCTGCTTTGAGGAGCACCTCCAACCAAAGAGGCATTGTCGCACGTGACGATCGTCGGACTCTGCTCGACCATCTCCCAGCCTTCATGGATGGAAAACTTAACTAGGCTTTAGGCTTTAGGGTTTGGGCCAAGTTTAGGGCTTAGGGCTTAGGGTTTAGGGTTGAGCGGTTAGAATTAGGGTGTGGGTGGGAGTTTGGGAATTCTACAAGTTGTCCCCACCTGCGCTGCAATGAACAACACAGACATCTCCGTGAAGCATCTCGCTGCAGGAGTGCGTTAGCTCTGGCAGGGACCTTGCAATTCAGACTCGAGCAACACAGATGCGGATACGCTCTCGGCATTCAGCTATTCTTCAAGACGACCAAAAGATTGACAGACTTCCTAGTGGCATACACTGGAATCACTACGAGTATAAAGAGGCAAAGATGCCGAGACCATGAACGCACATCCTAGCCAATCGGAAGCCCTGTGCTGCTTCGGGGCAAGGCTGTCGCTATCCCGTCGTCAAAGCAGGCGCCCGGTTCCGATGCATCCAGGCGCCTTGCAGCTGTGCAGTTTATCTCCTGCTCAGAGGCCCGGAGCTCCAGAGCTGCAGAGAGCCGGCAATGATACTTCCTTGGTAGTCCCGACCATCCACTTTCACAATAGGCCCAGCATTCTCCATCGACTGGAACGTTGATGCAAGTGCTGCCCACTCCTGGCCCGAACTGCACTTCAGGACAGCTGTCGGCCAGGATCTGAGGTATGCTACCCACAAAGCTGCCGTTCGCCTGGCAAACCAATGTTGCCGTGAGCCCCTCGGCAGACTCAAAGCGGTAGCCTGCAGCTGCCTCCACTGTGCAGGTCTCGTGCGTTGTCTTCCCGGCACAGTCATGCTGAACACCCTGCAGGTTTGGGAGGTTGGCTGTGCAAGGACGTGCTTTGCAGAGAGGACCGTCAGCTTCAGCGGCAGGGACGAAGCGGCCGTCACTTTCGAAGTAGACAGAGAAGCCTGCACTGTCATCCGGTGCATCGTCACAGACCAGGACCGTGGCATTGCCTTGCAACTCCCAACCCTGGCGGCAGAATGCAGAGCAGACCTCACCAAATCCGCGACCAGCACAAGAGTTTAACATGGAAGCATCGCTGAACCCCGGCACGGCAGATAAGTCTCCGCAAGTTCTCCGAGTACAGACTAGGGAGTGTTGAGTGAATCTGCCATCCGGCTGACAGCTCATCACCGGACTTCCTTGGCCGGAGAATCCACGGCCACACTGGACGGAGCACTCCTGGAAGGTCCGTTTCCCTGCGCAGTCGCTTGCATCCATGCCTGGCTCCAGGCGCACACCCTCCAAAAAGCAAGGGAATCCGGTGCACTTCGGCAGCGATCCTTGCAAAACCCCGTTGTCGCACCGCAGTTGCTCAGACAATCCCGAAAAACCAGGGCTGCAGGCAGCCCGGCAAGTTTCACCATGACGGGTCCCGTTGCAGTTTGTTCCAAAACTGGGATCTGCCAAAGCGTCGGGCACAGCGCAGGTCTTGGGCTGGCAAGGGTCACCAGGTCCTGCAAGCGTACCATCCGGAAGGCAGGTGTATGTTGCTGGATTCCCCTGGTGGCCAAACGCGCACGGGACGATACAGTCACTCCCGGCCACGATGCCAGAGCAGTCAGAGAAGTTTCTGCTAATGTCCGCTGCCTTCGTCGCCAGATCCAAGCTGCAGTCTGCGCGTTCGCAAGTTGGTGCAAAGCCTAGGAATAGACCATCTGCTCCACATACATGCAGCGACTCTGCTGGAAGATATCCGTCTGGACATCTCCTCACCAAAACACATGTCGGAAGGCTTGGTGCAACACATCCATCGCGCAGGGACAAATGTAAAACCTGCCTGCTCTGCTGCCGCAGGATGTATTTAGGTAGTAGAAACATCACGGGGGTATCACGGACCACACTTCTGATACTGATTACTTCTAGTAACCTGCTGCATGGTGCATCAGAGATTCACGAAGCATACCTCCCCAACAGATGTCCTCAGACAGGCACCGGTAGGGTCGTCGTGCTCACTAGGGCATGGCAAGCGTCAACTTGCTGGGCAACTCGGGATCAGACTGCGCACAGGAAGAGACGTCGTAGCCGCTCGGAAGTTGAGAAGTGTCGCAGAACCTCTCCTGGCAGTAGGCACTCACTAGACTGCAGTTGCTATGCTGCTTCCATCCCGGGCCTTTTGATTTTGTGAGGGAAGGGAATCTCATGGAGCCTCTCCGCTTGAGGTTTGGGCTCTTGCCAGAACTCGAAGCTCAGGAGCTGCGCCCTGCTTCTGGCAGACTGAAGGTCTCAACTTGGGCCCAGACCTTAAACCCTCAAACTTAAGCCCTAAACCCTAATCCCTAAACCCCCAAGCCCTAAACCCTAAACCTCAAACCCTATAAACCCTAAACCCCAAAACCGGGGCATGACATGGCATAACTCTTGGAGATCTCCGGCAGTCTCCGGCCGCTCGGGCTTGGGGCTCGAAAACGCTATCTGCGGTCCTGGCATTCCAAGCCAGCCTCAGTGGGTCGAAAGACTCCGTCTGAAGCGCAGGAATACCTGAGGTTTAGGGTTTAGGGTTTAGGGTTTAGGGTTTAGGGCTTAGGGTTTAGGGCTTAGGGTTTAGGGTTTAGGGTTTAGGGTTTAGGGTTTAGTCCTGTTCAGGAATTTATTGGACCATTGTATGGAGTTTCAGCGGATGGAATGCGCTGCATTTACAGACATATCCTAAACCCGAAACCCCAAACCCAAATTGTTGGTGACTTGGATTAAACAAGACCCAGATACTGCACCGGAGTGCCCGAGAAGCTGCCAGAGCAGCGGGCTGTGCAAGTTGCCCCTGCCAGGCTTGGGCTATAAGGGTAGTTGTCTAAAATAGTTTTAGGGTCCTTTTTATAAGGGTGCCGTACGATATTCGGGACCTTCAAGGGGACCCTAATTTAGAGAACTACCTATAAGATCTCCATGTCCATGAAGGTTCACGGTTTTGGGTATGGCGCTTTGGGTTTGCGGCTGCGGGTGGTGGGTGCTTGGCTTAGATTCCAAGGGGATTTACGGTTCAGAGCAAAGCTCAAAGGGAATCAAGGACTAGATCACCGTCCGAGAAAGATGTTGCACGAAGACGCTCACATCCAAGAAACTCGTGTGCAGAAGCTTCCTCACGGAAAGGCCAACACATCAAGAAGCTCAATTGGCACGTTTGTGGCGAGTCTGAAACTGCTGAGCAAAAGTACTGATACCAATATGTAAAATACCACTTAGCACCGGCGCATTCCAGCAAGGTCGGGAGACCCTATCCCGTAGAATCGATGTGCTCTCACCTGCGGCGATGCCGAAGCAATCGCTGACGTCAGCGCCGGGAGCCATCGGAAGACCCATCGAACATCGACGGTCGCCTTCTTCTGTGGTTGAGGTCGTTGTCCTGCGAGAAGCAATAGAACGCCTCTTTCTACTGTCGATGCGAGCAAACTCGGTCCGCAACGACCGCAAAGAATGGAAAAGCGAGGGCAGTTCATGTACACTGTTTTATCTTATGCCGGGTGTGTCGGGTCAGCTTCCGGGGTCCTGATGCATTCCGGCTGCTGGCCAGCGAATGTCAGGTTCTCTAAGCAGGTGTACTCAGAAGGCTCCCCCTCATAGCCCACAGGGCAAAGTACTTGGCAAGTATCTCCAGGCTGAAGTGAGGAGCACGCCTCGGCTCCTGCAATGTCCGGTACCTGGCATGTGGCAGTGGGAAGGATAGTCGTTGACGACGTGGCAGTACTTGTAGGCACCCACGTCCAAGAGCTGGTGGTGGTGGATGTGGAAGTTGTGAAAGAAGCTGTTCTTGACACGCTTGTTGAAGAGGTGGTAGTGGCAGTTGCAGTTGCTGTGTCTGTACTTGTATACCTGGTCGCTGAGAGCGTTGTGGTGGAAGGCCTTAGCGAAAGACTTACTTTGCCACAGCGCTAACGAGTTCGCGTGAGCGGCCATCTCTGGCTTTTCGCGAGGATCCCAACACACTGCAACTGGGGCTCCATGTAAATGGACTCGGAGGGCGAGGCAACAATGCGAACCTGAGTCATCGCAATGCCACCTACGAACACAGCTAGACTTGTATGTTCTTAGACCCTAGCCCCTCGACCTACTACCCCTGACCCGTATACAGAATACACTTCACCCTTTACCCTAAACCCCAAATTTCCTGCGGCTCGCGATCTGCTTGGTTCGCTGCTGACCGAAGCCAGACCCTGCTTGCTGATGTAAACGACATTCGATTTCATGGACGATGCAATGTGGGGTTTCTTCTTAGATAGACAGACGGGTCGATAGATAGATAGGTAGGTAGATAACCAGGGTGTTCGCAGGATTATATGGCTTGGATGAGATGTACCAGGCACCGGACCCAAGCGAAAGAACCGCCCCGATTCCCTCCGAAAGCTCGGCCGAACCGATCCAGGGAGCTGCCTTGTCTGCATGCATTTACCTCGGAGCTTCGGCTCAGGGTTCAGGGTTTAGGGTTTAGGCTCTAGGGTTGAGGAAGGAATGTACCATAATTCCCATAGGTTAGGGTCCTTAAGGTAGTGCGGGATTTATATCATCAACAGTAGGGCTCTTGATTGAAGGGTTAAGGGTTTACGGCGTTGGCATTGGGGGTTTACTGTAGGGCTTTGGGGGTTCAGGGGTTTAGAGGTGTAGGGGTTTGGGTATGAGGCTCTGAGGCTGACGGGGTTTAGGGGTTGGGGCTTGGGTGCCCGGGGCACTTTCGTGTGGCCTGCCCTTTCTCAGCCGTGCTGCCAGACTCAAAGAGAGGTCGGAAGGTGCAGTTCGGGCTGAAGTCGCAGGCGCTGGCATTCTGAATGAAGAAGCTGCATTCCTCGAGAGGAGAGAGTGTCTTAAGATTTATGAGGATCCTAGCTGCTTAGAGAGCAAACCAGCAAGGCGCCCTTGTGTTCTGAAACTCCTGCCATTCTCCCCTGGAGCCAATCTCGGACACAACGGCTGCGTCGGGACGAGGAGCATCGATGCTCGCGAGCCGGGCCAAATACTCACCTTCCCGGTAGAGGCTGCCTGCACAGCTCTGGCGTTCCAAGTTTTTAGGGATCAGCTGCCAGGCTTGGGTTTTAGGGTTAAAGGCTCCGGGACTCTATGGCCTAATTAAACCCTAAACCCCGAACCCCAAACCGTGCGCACGGCCATAGCAAAGAAAAACGAAACCCCAAACCCGAAACCCTAAACCTCAGACCCCAAACCCTAAACCCCAAACCCTGAACCCCCAAACCCTAAACCCCAAACCCGAAACCCCAAACCCTATCTGCGTGGCCAACTTCTGCAAGGCGCAGTCGCGCTCGTCCAGCGGAGGCGGAGTCCAAAGCGAGGTCCACGGTCTCCAACCGACCCGCTCCTGGCAAAGACTGGAGATGTGATTTAGGGTTTTGGTTTAGGGGTTTCGGGTTTAGGGGTTTAGGGGTTTAGGGGTTTAGGGATTAGGGGCTTAGGGGTTTAGGGGTTTAGGGGTTTAGGGTTTAGGGTTTAGGGTTTAGATGTGAGGTGTGGGGTTTGGGGTGTGGGGCTCAGGGTTTAGGGTCTTTGGGCTTTAGGGTTTAGGGTTTGGGGTTTAGGGTTCAGGGTTTTTAGGGTTTAGGTGTTCTTACAGGATGTGTTGAAGAGGTTTATGGCATGGTTAGTAGGGTTCAAGAGGCTTTGTTCAGTCACGAATGGAAAAAATTGAGTGGCATGGACTTGGTGCTTGCTGCCGTACGGAGTCTGGCCGCATCCGAGCCGAAGCCCATCTATTGCAGGGGCCCAAATAATGACCAATACTATTTTCATTTTTTGGGGGGTCCTCCTTACAATTATAATATAACATGCCCCGAAGCCCTATTCCAATTACAAAGGCCCCTTTCTCAAGCCAATCTAAGCTTTGGGAACCGCAAGTTACAAGTCGGAACGCAAACAGAGTCATCAGATCGTGAAGTTCAGGCCTCGAAAAGAACACGAGCCTCGACGAAGACACCCTACAGTTTCGACTAGCCGCGATGACCGCAAGCCTTGCCGAGCCGAGCATTTTATGGATCCGAATGGCTGCTACGTTGGGTGCACAAGGTGTCTGGGATTAGACATGTTGGCCCGTTCGCATTGTGTCATGTGGCTGCCCAAATCCGCGTCTCACTGTCCTTGTTCTTCGGCGTATACCTGAACGGCCTCTTCGTAGAGATTAACCTGAGCTCCCGCACGAGCCCAATAATGCCAGTGTCATGGCAGCGGCATGCCGCGTGTGCAAAGGGCTTCGCAAAATGGTCAGCCTGCTTTTTAGGTTCTATGCATAAACTGTCGTGTGATAGCGGCTGCGTGACCAAGCAATGTAGTCATCTGCCGTTGGGCCGAGCAGGTAGTCGCAGTTCTCGTAGCTTCCAAGAGTGGCGGCTGCCACGTCCCACGTCTGACAGAAAGTCTTGACATCGTCAGTCACGAAGACCGTTTCATAGGTGTCATGGTGATGAAGCAGCTCGACTCCAAAGAATGATTCAGCCTGCAACAAGGCAGTCCTCCCCTCCGACATTTAGGGCTTGACTTCTGGGGAAGCATGTGCTCACATGACCCCTCAAGCCTGATCCAAGGCTGACGAGCACTCCCGCTGCTGCGTGCAGTAGACCGACAAAGACGGTATGTACGGCAGGACAGGATGCCCGTCATCGTCCACCAAAAGCTGCACTGGCCCTGAAATGAAATGATACGTGTCGGTAAACCTCAGTGCTATGTGGGTCTCTGGAAGAGTGCCACTTAGACGACCAACACAAGAACCTCAAGTCCGTTTCCATGGAGAGCAGACTAGTGGCACAAATTTCTCTGTGGTAACTGCCGCTGCAGCATCGCAAAGCACCTGATCCGATGCTCCTGCCCAATCCTTCTCTTGCAAGAGCGAGGGACCTGCCACAGCTGCACTGGAACCCCCATGTAGCCAAACGAGTCAGCCCCACCTCCGGGAGTCTCAATCTCCGTGGTGCTCTCTCCGTTCCCGTCAGCCAAAATCACGACGTTTCCTTACAGAGCTGAGGAAAAAATTAGAAGCTGCAATGTGTCAGTCTGTGCTCTAACTCCAGTTTCTCTAGTTCCTGTATGGAGCTCTTCTAAATGGAGTCGAAGCTCGGAAAGGATGATGTGTCACCTTCAGGCTCTGTAGGAGCTTAGACTCCGACCAATCATCATAGGCGATCACGGCTAAAGTGAGCTGAGATTGGTTGATATTGCGCAACAGGTTGTTCCGAGCCGCATGACGCACCTGGCGGACCGCGCATCTCGAATCTCACCCGACCAGGACGCCCAAAATATTCAAGGCAGAGAGGGGAAAGCATGCAAAGCGCTTCCGCGGCGCAAGTTCACCGGGATCAAAGCTTCTGTTCAGCAACGTGTTGGCATAGTTTCCAACCAACAGAGAGTCATCCCGATAGGGCTGCTCTCCTGCACAGGCGGAATGGACTTTGGAATCGTGGTGTGGGGACTGCTTCAGTCATGCCCCTGCTCCCACTGCTTCGGACCCTCCCGTCATCCTTCTGGAACGTGTTGCTTCCATGCGTCAGCCAGGTACGTAGTGGCATTGTCTGCCGCTTCCAGAGACGCCTGTAGAGTCAAGGCCGCCATGCGTACGTCGAAGGCCGTACCTCAGCACCAGGCCGTGATAAATCCACAATCACACCGTCACCCCAAATTCGATTCAGGGTCTCTGACTATGTTGGATTCTGTTCTGTTATCTTACGAGAATCTCACAAGCATCTCATCATCTGCTCTCGAGACGCTGGCGTTACCTTTGGCTTCATCTTCCTGGCACCAAGCCGCAAAGGCGGAAGCGTTAGGCATGCAGAGAACACGAGACCTTTAGGGATTTAGGGGTCTAGGGGTTTAGGGGTTTAGGGCTTAGGGGGCTTCATGCAGCTCCTCCAGTTGATCTGCTAGGAACTCTAGCCACGGATGCTTGAAGTAGATGGCGTTGCCATTGAGGTGCTGGAGCAACCTTGCCCGGAGCTACATTGCCATTCCGGCGCACTGCCCGCGATCAATACAGCAGAAACTGATCATGACTGTCCAACTACTGTAATTACCATGTCCAGGACCCGATTCTTCGGTCGATTCAATCCAGGCGGTTAGAGAAGGGCCCGGGTGCCCTGTGATTTCTTGGCGCATTTCAGGTCATCCCCAACAACCCTTTCATCAGGCTCACACCTACCTAAAATCCCAGGAGTCCCGGGTCTCTTAAGCAAGCAAGCCGAAGCGTCGGGCTAGGAATTCAGACCCCGCAGTTCCGCCCAGCTGCTCGGCCGAGATTTCATCTAAGAAAGGATCCCACGAATCACCGCGGTAGCGGCTACCGCGGATGGCAGCCCGGGGATAAATCACGACCTTATCACCAAGCGTCTACCATGACCATTTAAGCAAAAGCACGCTCCCTGGCACACGCCGTCCCGAAGCCCAACATCTGAGGACAGTGGCCAGCTGATGTCAACTAGATCGTCGCATGTCAAGAGCACCAGTATGTTGCATTATCTTACGTTAATATTAGGACGTTGTATTATGTAAATGCTACATTAAAAATACGGCTTTGTATCTTGCTTTGCTTGAAGAAGGGGATGCCCGGGACTTCGGACGTCGGCCCAAGAGCTGATCAGATGCTTCTCAACACCGAGGCATGGCCGCCCTCATACTCTTGCCATAGTATACATACCACAACATACCAAAAATATACAATATAGCATTTAGCATACCATAATCTACCATAATATGCCATAACACAAAGTATATAGAGAGCTCACTCTTCACAGAAGGAGCTGCCAATTCTAAACTCTGATTGCTCGAGTGGCCTCTGCATAAAGCTGGTCCAACCAGAGGCTTCGCAGTGGCACCGAGTCAAATTCCTGAATGAGGTTTCGGGGTTTAGTGTTGAGGGCTCAAGGCTCAAGGTTTAGGGGCTCTGGGCTTGGGGCTTAAGGCTTTGAGTGTTTAGGGTTGAAGGTTGAGGGTTTCGGGCTTAGGGGCCAGAGGCATTCGTGAAAACAGTTTGCAGACTCTGGACCAGACCATGGGTGGGGAGGCCAAGACACCATGAAGAAGAAGGCATCGTAATCAGCAGGGGCGAGTGTGCTGTCCAGAAAGCTGCGCAGAATGTAGCCTTGGCATGTGGGATGATGTGGAATCTCGGTTTCTCCAGCTCCCCATTGCAACCCTGGGGCGAAAGACTTTGTTCGGGCCATTCACCCAATCCTTGCGCACGGCATAGCCGCGAGAATCGTAGACATCCTGCAATAGCAGGGAAAAAAATAATAATAATAATATAATAATAATAATAGTAATAATAATAGTAATAATAACAATAATCATAATAATAATATATATATATATGTGTGTGTGTGTATGTATATATATATAATATATATATATAAAGCGGACTTGACGGAAAGAGCCCGCTCTGCAGAACCCTCGAGACTAAGACAGAGACGTCCTCGGCCGAGGGGTTTCTTCACGGAGATGACTACAAGAGAGGGAGGCTGAGGTTCATGGGTTTAGAGTTTAGGGCCTTGGCCATGCTTTTCCTACTTTACATGAAATTCGCTGGCTCTCACATTCCGTGCCAGGTCGTGTGCCAGTGGAGGGCAAGGGAAGTAAATCAGTCCCCAAGATGTCATGCAGGTTCCACGACCACATTGTGAGATCTTCTGAATTTAATCTTCGAGCACCACTTCGTCACGGCCGTGGTACCCCTGGGCGCATCTCCGCGCCCGCCGGTAGCATTAATGGTACCGCTCTCTTCTTCATCACAGCTAAGGGAAGACGCACGGCCCTCCCCACGTGCGAGCGCGCACTGGTCTCTCTCTCTCTCTCTCTCTGTCTTTCTTTCGGCTCTCTCTCTGTCTCTCTCTCTCTCTCTCTCTCTTGGCTTCTACTAAGCCCCCAAGCGCCCAGTTCAGGCTTCAGGGTTTAGGATGCATTTAATCCTAGGGGCCGTTTCTTTCTGAGAATCCTTGTGTTTAGGATCCTTTAAACGCTGAACACCAAGGCCACACGCCCTTTCTGAAGCTGCCCTAGAGGATACCTCCTGGGCCTGACAAGGGCTGTCCTCGTCTGCCGTCAAGTTCGCAGCCTTGATGTGCACTTCTCGAAAACACCTGCAGGGGAACGGAGAAGAGCGAAGGCAAAACGGTTGCAGCTGCAGCTTCCATGCCGTCTTCAGGGTCTACGGTTGAGGGGTTTAGGGCCTCAAGGGTTTAGGGTTCAGGATTAGGGTTCCGGGTATAGGGCTCGGGATCTGGAAGGCCAGCCTGTGCCACGGCTGCGTTCTTTCTCGGAAGGCGGTGCTGACACGCTCCACTGCAGCAAGCGCATCCGGATTTTGACCGAATTTTCCTGTTCGGCATAGTATAGTGTTAACTAGTGAGGCACTATACACTAGCGCATTCGTATTGTAGGATTAAAGCATGAAAGCATTATGTTGTAGAACTGTCACACTATCGTGTTGTCCGAACGCACATTCTGGCCTTCCACTGGAATGATGCCAACATCTGTGCAGAACCCTACCAAAAAAAGGCTGACCGGTACTGGACGTCCAGAAGCAATGCCCACAGGGTAAGAAAACAGTGACTGTATGTTGTAGCATGAAGTCGGTCCGAGTCACTGCTATACCTTGGTTGTTCTGAAGTGTGCATGTCCGAGGAAAACTGCATACGACGCCAAATTTGCTTGCTGCCAAGTGACACAAGAATCAAATCGAATTCGGCGAGGGCTTTGTCGCCACATGGGGAAACCGTGTTCCAAAGTGCAAAGGCTTCATCCATGTCCTCGCAGAGCACGGGCAGAAATGACACGAAGTTTTGACCAGCACCACACCCAAGCAAGCTTGCATTCACTCTGGGGAAGCCCTGCTTGATATGCCTTGATGTTATTGCTGTGGCACCTCGATTTCCTGGCTGCTTGCAAAAGGTCGCACCACGGCGAGCTCTTGCGCACGGGCTACCTTAGACGTGAAGGCTTTGGCCAAGGTTCTCCCAAAGCACTCGGCATGTTCTCAACAGTGCCATCGACTCCATACGGTCTACACAACAGACCCCATGAGCTGACATTGACTGCACGCTACAATTATACACGGACAGAGGCGCAAAAAGGGTCTATGCAGGGGGGCTGGCCTCCAAGCAGAGCAGCAAGGCCAAAGCCGTGAGACGGCGCATGTCCTACACCGCGGGCACTTCACCACAACTTCAAGGTTTGGGCTTTAGGGTCTAGGTTTAGGGTTTAGACTTCAAGGAAGAAAACCGTCAGCTTTAGGGGTTTGGGGCTTTAGGGTTTAGGGAGTAGATACGTCATGCGGCTTCAGATTGCCCTTGTGCGCAAGGAGCTGCTAGACATGAGATCGATTGCAGACATCAGTTCGACTGCCAACGAGCAGCCTGTCCTATTCGGCCATATGCGCGAATTCATGAGCTGCGGGGACATGAAGGGGAGCAGCTCAACTTACTGTATCAGCACATGATGGGCACTGCCTGCATAACAACCAACTCTGTGTAGGAGCTGAGACTCTGGCCTAACATGATAGAATTTGTCAAAGAATATTAGGGGAGGCTTATTCTGACATCTTGTGATCGACTGCCACTGTCTTCTCGCCATGGTGAGGCTTTGTACGAGCCAGCACCGCGGGCCGCCCAGAAGGACTGAAGATCACAGACAGACAGAGAGAGAGAGAGAGAGAGAGAGAGAGAGCGAGAGGAGAGAGAGAGAGAGAGAGAGAGAGAGAGAGTGAGTGAGTGAGTGAGAGCGAGAGACAGAGTGAGAGGAGAGAGAGCGAGAGAGACCGACATGAGCTCGAATTCAGCAATGCTCAGGACAGCTGCAGATTCCCTGCTTTGCATTTTTTCAGGCGAAGGTCCAACAGCTGCAAGCTTTTGTCTCCCAGCATCTGTATGGCTCGTGCGGCTGTGCTGCTGACAGTTCAGGCCGGAAGGCTACATGTCAGTCGACCAGATCAGGCCCAAAGCAGTATGAGCGGCCTGGTGTACTGCTGAATATCTCAACAGGGTCTCAGAGGCTGTTTCTCGAAGGAAAGCTGTCAGGAACTATAGCGCGGTAGGCTGCCCCGTGGCTTCCATGCAGCAAGGCAACGGTCTGAGCTCTGTGTTTCTGCCATGGCTTTTAAGTCTTGGTACTGTGTCTTTAGATCTGGTTGCACATCTAAACCATATGCTATGTCCCCTAGTAGTGCCGGCTCACTGTGCTTCAAGGATCCCAGGTGCTTTGCAGATTTGCTCCGAGCAAGGATTCAATGACGCAGGCAACATGCAAGCAAGCATCATCAAGAGCTCGAAGCATCTATTGATTCACAATGCCGAAGACGGGCAACAGAACGCAAGGTCCAGCAGTTTTGAACAAACGGCGGTCGATGCTCCCTGGTACCGGACACTCTATCTGGACTTGCCAGATGTAATTGACTGGATGTAGCTCTTGCAGACCTGAGAAGCGAGGGAGCGTTTTCGAACGAATCCCTCGATCATTTTGCTATCGGAAGCTCGCACCTCATGGACATCCCACTTGTAGTCTGGCAGGATGGCCTGGGACAAAATTCGCAACGTCGAAGCATCTCTGCATGCCCTCTGGAGCCTCACCCGATGCAGCTACTTCGATCCATTTGGAGCCTGCCTGGAAGCGGTAGATGTAGTAGAACACCCAGGAGACGGACACCAGGACCAGAACAAAAGCTGAAAGGAAGACTCCTTGCAACGGGCTCCGGGCTCCATCGTGTCATGCTCACAGGAACCGGGAATGACAGCAACTTTTCGCATCCAAAGATCGGTAATTTGCACGCTCTTGCTTCTGCCACGGCTGGATCAGCGTATTCTGCGTAGCTCGCTTGTTACCTTGGAGGTTGCTCATAGGTCTCCGGCTGCGAAACCACACTCCGCCCCTTCAACAATTTGGCATACATATACATATACATATACATACATATATAAATATATACATATATACATATATACATATATACATATATACCTATATACCTATATGCATATATACATATATACATATATACATATATACATATATACATATATACATATATACATATATA